GTCATGTATTCGACTTCATCAAGCATCGTTAGAGAAGACTGAATGTACATCTGGCCTACTGAATGGTTTTCGGTAGCCTATTGATACTTCATTTTAGTGCTGCTATCTTTTTAGACAAGTCTGGTATCAAACTGCCAACACCGAAGAGATGGAAGGCTTGGTGAACACAAGGCATGGGACCGAACGAACGACCACGTATGTGAAGAATCCTACCAACAAGGAGTAAAACAATGAGTTTATGTGGATGATCATGATCACTGGCGAAAACAAGATTGAGGATTTGAGGAAAATTTTGAGAAGGAATTTTGTTGTAATAAAATCTGAACTCTCTGTGTTTAAAAACGATGACAGCTTAGCAATGTTCTCCAGTCGTGCACTAACGTTTTCTCAAGGGCTTGAGTTTAAGCTTAACCTATCTCGTCACCTATTTCTCGCTACTAGTGTCGAAATGGACACACACGAGTACGTGACTGAATCCGAACGCTCTGGAAGTTAGCGGTGGCATGGGAACCCGTTATTGATCAGAACTCAACCACAGCTTTCGCCCTGTGCAAAAGTCCGGCCACAGCTCTCCTCATTGTTCATCTGAAATTCATCCAGCGGCTACGCCAATATAGCTCTTTTTGTCGAAATAGCTTTGACACGGCTCCTATGAATCTCTTGGCCAATTGCTCTTTAATCCGAAAGTTTCAGATAACATCATGGAATTATTTTACTTCTCTACTCGTCCCTTTCTTAATTCGTTTGTATTATTTTGTGTACAATGTTCGAAATAAGGCTGTTAGATCTGTTAGGCTTTGGGAAGCAAATGCAATTTTTTGCAACCAGTTTGTCACTCGGAAGCATGTGTAACTCAGTAGTTAGAGAGGCTGTGCCAAATGCTATAATAATAATACACATGCACGTAGTCATTGGTTCGATCCCGTCCTGCAGAATAAACAAGTCCGTTATCATTCCAAACTCTGAAAATTGTACCGCTGATCAGGAATAATACTGTTTTCGGTAAGACTGTACAAGTCACTGGAAGTATGCGTTCATTAAGCTCAATGACGGTTGGTGAGGAAGATGGCATACCGCATCCCCACCGTAGAGCTTGATCAACTCCGAACGCTTTATCTTTTTGCCCTTTGATTATCAATTTCGCTTTAGACTGACACTTCACTGTTTCTTTTCGATCTCCTGGTTGCTTGGTCGCAGTATTTTTCCTGTTATGGAATAGTCATACTCGCAACGTGACAAACTTTTCATCATCACTAAAGCAACGACTATCGATAGTGGGCGACAATGGAGTTCTCTAACATGGCTATTTTAGTATTCCAGGTATACCGCTGTTGGCAGCCATTTGAAAAAAAGCAGTGGTTTCTGATTGCGATTACACATGTGGATGGCGGATTGAAAACAACTAATCCAACAAAAGAGGTGCTGGTTTCAGCACAATATCTCACGGCAATGTCGTATATCGTACGCGTGTTCTTAAAATCTTGCATTCCTTCACCTCTGTATTCAGATTTAATGTGAAAGAATACTTGCTTACTTACCTGATACTTGAATGGCCCCTCCTCACTTGTTGTGCGGGCCCCACCATATTCTCCATTTTTCGGAGACTTGCTGGTTAAGGCATTGTGGTTCCCTGGAATCCCGAGGTCATCCTGGCCTAAGTCTGCTCCAGGTATTCACCACCGCAGGCAGTCGCAGCCCTTGTGGATAAGAGGGAGATTTGCCACCATGGGACATTGATACCAGGACGGCGGTAGATCCTCGTATTTGTTTACTCTTAGCTAGGCTTCCTGATTGAAACGTCGGACTCCTTCACAGCCTGGGAGACTCTGCCAGGAGATCGATTCTCCGCTGTACGTCGCAGTCCGGCACACAGGAACACCTCGCCGCCACGATGAGGAGGTAAACCGTTGGGTGGATATATATACATATTGCGCTCGGTGGTGGTGTATTCGTGCGCGCTCGTTATTAGAATTGGGACCGAGTTTCTCACCATTTGAACCCATTTCTAAGGTAACCTTGCGTAGAGTCGCATGTACTTTACATGAACTTCAAAATAGACTCCGCAAAAAAGTCAGGGATGAAGCGCAAAATAGGCGCGAACAACAAAAAGGAGGGGCAATACCAGTACCACCATTTCCTCAACCGCTCTTTAGACAACAAGAGCCCAATAATGAAGTTGAACTGAAATTTCGGACGTTTACGAATGAAACTTTCAAAGTCCTTAATCACTATCGCTACAAGAGATACTGCTCCAACCCCACTGAAATACAAAAACGCGGTATGCGGGAGGTACGAGAGCTGATAAGATCGAAAAACATAAGACTATCGGTTAGCGTGAAGGGTGGAGAGTTCGTTGTAATTCACCATCAATTAGATGTTGAGATAACGGAAAAGCACCTTGAAGGTGCTACCCTTCATCGTCCACCGTCTGAGAAGGATTTTAAAAACAATACCGAAAGTTAAACAACGAATGGGTTAAAATAGCAAGAGCGGTTGGATCAAAACTATCTCTCAACTCAAAGCTGACTTACCAACATGTCCCGTTCTGTACTTACTTATCAAAACCAATAAGTTAGTATCCAGCGATGATCTCGTCGATTAGCTGCGTGGACGGGCCAACGAGTAGAATAACGTGGTTAATAACCATAATGCTTACTCAGTTGTTGAAGTACATTCCAGCTCATCTAACGAACACCCAAATGTTCTTCAATCTTCTACGTAAAGCGCGACCCAACAGCGCGAACGTGGTGGAGTCTTTCGACGTCACTGCCCTCTGTACGAGCGTGTCGAATGACTCTGCTGTGCAAGCCATATTCGAACTCCTTATACAATATGAAGGAGCAATAAACATGTACGGCTTCTCGATTCAGCAGTTGATGACACTCTTAAAGGAGTGCCCAAACTGCTCAATCTTCAGATGGTCCGGGAGATATTACGCACAAATGAGTGGGTTGGCAATGGGACAACAACTGGCACCAAGCCTTGCCATTGCCATGCATTCATGTCTGAGGTGGAAGCACCAGTAATCGACCTCGGGTCGTTACTCTACTGTAGATATATAGATGGCTGCTTAGTCATTTGTCCATCACAAGAAAAAATGGATAGATGTTTCGTGTTATTGAACGAACAGTCAGAGTATATTAAATTCACCCGAGAGAAACCAAAAGAAAACTGGCTTCCATTTCTGAACGTGCAAACTAACCTTTGAGGAAACGGCTACATTACGAAATGGTATCGAAAGCCGACTAGTAAAAACATCTTGGTTCATTACCTCTCCTCTCACTCCTCTCACACGAAAAGTGCGCTTGTGAGAAACATGTTTCGAACAGCTACCAGCGTGTGCACAGGAAGACAGCAGAGAGAGTAGTCCCGGAACTTGGAGGGGCAAATAGCCACTTTTAATGGCTACGAAACTGTAGCTCGAGATAGGTGTAGAGGAAGCCACAAGTACCCCAGCGATAGCTCTAGCGACGATAGGGTCTCGTTTATACTGCCCTTAATTTCAAACGAAGTAAGTGCAGCTGTAAAACGGTGTTTAAGAAGGGCCGGTCTAGAGAATTCGGTAAGGATAATTGAAATACCACCGAGTAATCTAAGACGCCAACTAGTTCGTAACCGCCTATACGACCGTCTATGTGCAACGCAAAATTGCATAATCTGCCCCAATGGTAGAGACGGTGACTGCATGAGTTCGGGTACAGTCTATCTGATCTCTTGTAAAGCGTGCGGGGACGAATACGTTGGCGAAACGGGTAGACCACGCTGCGTACGTATAAAAGAACACCTAGTCGGCAAGCGCAAACCAAATACTCCACTAGGCACGCATAGGACGCAGAGACATAGAGGAGAAGATTTGAAGTACGGGTTACGATCCTCGCGCAAGAATCGAGAACACAAGCACGCAAAACTCTAGAGGCATTCTGGATTAATTCCAAGAATCCGAAAATGAACAGCAAGGAGGAATGCCTTTTTATCACCCCTGATATTGGACAGTATATAAGCCTGTTATTTTGATGAGATGAGCACAGTACGATTCAGTGTAAACTCTGTGTGGTTGGTCTCCACGTCATATTCAGTGCAGGACTCATAGAAAGCGGTGAGTTTGCAAAGACTCTGTGTTCAACGTGGTTGGAATTTTTGTTCAGCACTTTCTATGCTTGGTTATGGGGGTGCTTGGTCGCGTAGATTGTAGTTAACTTGACCTTTCCAGGTTCTGAGGAAGGCGGAATCCGCTGAAACGTCTGCTTGTACATAAATAAAGAAATAAAGTAACACCTCGTGTTTGCTGGAAAGAAGTAGAAAAAATTATATATATATATATATGTACGCATATATATGTCTATATATATATATATTTCCTTCTGACTACTCAGTTTGCAGGCAGGTCGCCGAGTACTTAGATTATGATGTTTTCCTGGCGAAAATGTAAAGACTCTGGTTGTTTTTTTCGATTTGGAAAACTTAAGCCATCCCCGTTTGGATTTACTACTGTAAGTTAGCAGACGACATCGTTTTCTATTTTCTAAAGAACCTGTTGTTAAACAGGATTTCGTTTTATTTTTGAAATTCAAACACAGCCTTTCCAATAGAAGCTTTTCTAGTAAACTTTGTTATACGTATGAAAGCTCGATTCCATTCTTCGTTCACCACCTTTCTTCTGAATCTTCAGATAAAGCTGAACATTATTCCTGTCTGGTTGTAGATAGTTGTGAGCTCTATGTTCCATTAAAAATGTGACTTTTCTTCATTCTATTTCTTCGATATTCTTTTAGGAAATATCTTATAATTGGGCAGCAACCCGACAAAATGGTTTAAATGAGACCTACTCTGATTGGTATTAACCAGTGAAGTTAAGTCTTTTAAAAATGCGTAGAGCTTCTTACTGACCATCGATGGATCCGTTCACACAACATCTTGCTTTCATCATTCACTTGTCATAAAACCAATGAACCTATCCGCTTTTTTCGAAACTTTTGCGAATTCTACAAGGAATCAAGGTGATGGTGATTTTACAGGTGATGTCGAATCTCACCACCACCTGTCATGATGGGCTGATCCTGCCTGCATTGGCTGTTTCTCCAGAAAATGCTATCCTGTACCTTATTGGTCTTTTATACAGTTTCCTTGGTATTTCCATTGCAGCTGATGTGTTTATGTGTTCCATAGAGAAAATCACCAACACCACAAGGTACTCATCTAGTAATTTTGTTTACTTCTTCAAACAGTTTGTGTTTTACACAGTAATAGTTATTGTGTATAAATGGATAACATAAACGAGGCGGATTTTTATGCTTTTTATCTTTCGACCTATTAAATTGCTTTAATTTTTCTTTTTTTTTTCCTAATTTTCCACTGATTATTCAAGCTCCGGCAGAGTGTTCTAAACAGATCTTGATTACTGAGCGTCGACCAATCTTGGTAAATGAAACCATTTCTTTCACAGCACTCCCACAACTATAATTAAGTTTCTATATTAGGAGCGGAGTATGAACTGCTGTTTTTTGAATGTGGTAGACAAGTATTCTTTAGAAAAGTTCGCAAGCATACCGAAAAAGGTGTATTGATAGCTGGCAATCTTCCAGAGGATGAGGAGTACGAAGAAGTGAAAGTGTGGAATCCAACAGTGGCAAATTTAACACTGATGGTAAGATATGATCTAATATTTCGTCTAATATGCAGAGGTACAGTATATTTTTTGAAGCATATAGAGAAATGATGTGAAAGGTGTTCAGTTAAAAGTGGATGTCTATTATAATCGTTTGTTTAGGCTCTCGGAAGTAGCGCTCCAGAAATTTTGCTCTCTATTATTGAAATCGTAGGAAGCGGTTTCCGAGCTGGTGAACTAGGTCCGGGAACGATTGTTGGTGAGACTACGAATCGTTTATGTTGAAATTTTCTTGTGCCGTTGATGAACTCTGGTAAATAGTGCAGAACGATTTACAACGTTTACTTATAAAGTGCCTTTGAACGGAAATTTCATGCTATTGGGTTGGGCTGATGGAGTGCCTTTTGGCCAATCAATTCTAATGCTCATTGGCGAAGAGTCCATCAGAGTTGGGGTGAGATGCTCACATCGGCCTCTGGAAGTTTTCGAACAGTTGTGTGTGAGCTGTAAAATCTTCAATTCAGCGACTTGAGAAGCAGAAGGGGTTTCACGACTTCCCTCGCCTTCACGGTCGAAGCCTTTCGACGTCTTCGTCTTCATCACAGCCGATGATCCGAGTTGATGGTCCTGGTCCACAATCGTTCGTCTTTTCTTTGTGGTGTCTTCACCGTCATATCGAGTCGGAACTTCTTTAGTGGAGCACCATTTAAATGAGTAAACCTCACCTGGCAGCGCTCCTTTATGCAAAACGGTTGTTGTAATGATTGTCCATTGACAATATTTGTTTTTCCACGGACAATCCGTTTGGCAGTTGTCGCTATTATGTTAGTGCAGTTAACATAATTAACATAATTCATGTTACTCATTTACATCTACTGTGTACGGATACCAGCACTTCTTCGATTCGTTTACGCACATCCATAACCCACGAGGACCTTTCAATTTCTTGCTACTGCTGCTGCTTGAGGATTTTCTCTCCATCATGAATATCGCTTAATGCTGGTCGAGTCGATTTTCCCAAGAGCCCTGATATAGTCGGGCTAAAGCCTTCCCACTTGAATTGCGAAGGGTAAGCTTTTCCGAACAAGTTCGATACCAATTTCCCGACTTCGATCGAATGAGAAGATTAGTGAGTCTAAGCGAGATCGGACCAGCACTGTGCTCGTGAGGATCGGCATCACTACCAAGGTGCCACTAGTCTCCCTTAGTTCAAGTTTACCCTGCCAAAGTGAGGATAAATGAGGATTACAGTGATTTGTAAGATTAAAACACTGGAAAGAAAAACTATTGCTAGAACGCATGCAGGTAAAATCAAGTCAGAAATCGGCCATTAATTTCGTAAGGACCTTATATAAACCTCCAATGTGGATCGTAGTTCGACACCGGAAACACCACAGTCACGACGAGATGATAATGTGCTGAAATAGAGTAGAGTTGTTGGAGGAGGACAATGCTATTATACTCCCGGAAAGAGTTCCATCTGTGACTAATTGCAGTTATATAGGCTTTATTATGAGCTTGAAAAGGCCTCTAAGTGGACAGTTTAGCGCAATATTCCTTAACGATTATTATAGTAGTAATTCGTAAACTTAGGAGAGAATCCTGATTCACAGGAACTTTCAACCAACGGCTGTCAGTGTGAAATGTTGATCATCACATGGTTTCGAAAACAAAGTTTAAATCTTCTTAATTCGCAAATACTCATAAATAAGGTTCCTTAATTTATTTTGCTTCATAAATCATAAAAGCAAATCGCTTTCTCAAGAAAGTCATTTTGTTGAGGATCTTCCTTTTCCATAGGCTCTGCTGCATTCAATTTGTTTTGTATTTCTGCCATCTGCGTCATGTCTGTCGCTTCACCAACTGTAAAGCGTATCCAAATGTTCAACGTTTTCCTTGTAACGGCGTTCTTTGGAACCTTTGCTTATATCTGGTTGCTGGCGGTACGTTATTTTAGCCTAGTGAATTGAGATGCTCCCTTGAATATGTTGAAATCTTAGTGCTTTCCGTTTTTTTCTCAGATTCTTACTATTTCCTCGCCGGATATTGTTGAAGTCTGGGAGGCGGCTGTCACTCTATTCCTCTTCGTCGTCCTTGTAATCGTCGCATACTGTGCCGATGTTGAGGTACAAGATTGCTGTATTTTTGCAAAATTTTCACTTCTTAAAGTTTCAAATACATCTTTTTAGCGCTCGGAGTACTACAAGGTGAACTCAGCATGACGGTTATTAATGTTGAGAAATTACAGCATTCGTAGTTGTTTAAATACTCTGATTGCTTGACTTTACGAAGAATTGTGCGGGTCCGAGCTCAACCTCCAATTTACTGGCAATTTTCTGGACGAGATCTCCTTTCCTTTGTAGTTTCAAAATAAGACTGCTAAGGCTTTCTTAGGACATCACTAAATCGAGTCGACGAATGAAATACGCTTGCTGTGTTGTAAGTACGTTGCTACCAAGGTGGCGATGATTTCTTGAGCTCCAGAGGCTGTCCGGATGAAAAGTGGAATTTTTTTCTATCTTAACCAATCCTGTTGAAGAATCAATTTCCACTGCACACCGAGCTTCGATGCTCAAAAGTAGCAAAGCATTCAAGAGGAGGTGGGCCACTGAGAGGGAGAGTGATACTATGGTGAAAAATTTCGTCTATGATCAGCGATCAACAGATATTTCAACCAAATACTACATTTCCAGTTAAAGTTAGATTTGTTAATCAATCATTATTTTTTATTATCCATGTGGTCTGGAAAAAAGTGAAATAACGAGCACATTACGGAGATAGGATTTCTATGAAAATGACGTATAGGGGCAAAAAATTAAAAGAATCGGTGATATTTTTGTAGCCAGAAGGTAGCGCGGTGGTAGTGATCTCGCCCATTACGCAGGCGGACCAAACTAACCTGTCGCGGGTTCAATCCTTCTTGGGCCAACCAAGCTCCTCATACCTCCGGAGTTGGTACTACATCAGTCCGAAACAAGCTGAATCTCTCCAATCTACGCGGAAACGCCCACACATGGTTAACTGAAGATTCCCGGAAGAATGCATTCTACCAGCACTCAACGAAATTCGTCACAAGGACGAAAAATTCTAACACAGTAACGGAATTCAAGTGCAAAAAAAAATCGAGGGCACTGGTAATGGTTGCGAGGAAACGAATCGAGTGCGGAAAGTGCTTGGATCCGAACAGTGTGAGACATGTGACCATGGGTCATGTAATTAGTAAACCAGTAAGATCTTCGTGAATTTGCAGATTAGATATTAATGTTGAAGGCATAATTAAGGAAACGATTGGGTATGGTTTCTTGAATTAAATTTAAAGTAACTCTCGACAGCTGAGAAAAATTAAAATGAAAAGAAGCCAGTGAATACAACACGAGAAATGGAAGGTATTCAGCAATTGAAACTATCCATTAAATTGTTTTCGATGTTCTTGTTGAGGAAACAAGAGGTGTTACTTTATTCTTTATTCCGTTAAAGTTAACGTTTCGGCGAATTTCACCTTCTTCAGGGCTTGGAAGGGTATATTGATAGATATTACAGGTATTATATTGATTGATTCACTACGCCAAACGCTCCAATAACACAAACAGAAAGATGACAATCTAAATCGCATTCACACGATCAACAGCTTCTCGAAAAATCTATTGTTTTTACTTGCCTTCCACTGAAGAAGAGAAGAACAGCTGATTAGAGTTGCACATGCTCGATGACTACACCACCCCACATCAAAAATCGATGCGAAGATACAGGTTTAGGTGGTGTGTCACCTCTGGGCATTCCTCCCTGCTATTCCTTTTTGGATTGTTGGCATTTATCCAAAAGCCCTCAAGAAATTTGTGAGCTAATGTTTTAGCATCCTGTGCGAGGATAGTGACTTTATATCAGAATCGTCTCTGTGCTTTTGTATCCTATGCGTACCTGGTGGCGTGCCTTGTTTTGCCTTCCGTTTGCCATCTAGGTGTTCGTTTATGCGGATGCGTAAAGATCTGCCTGCTTCGCCAATATATTCATCTCCGCAAGTATTACAAGAAATCAGATATATCGTGCCTGAGCTCAAGCAGTCACCGTCTTTGCAGCAAAGGCAAATTATGGAATTTTGTGTTTCGCAGAGACGGTCATATAGACGGATACAAACTAACTGGCGACGAAGAGTATTGGGTGGTATTTCACCTATCGCTACCGATTCCCCTAAACCCGCCCTTCTTAATAAGCATCGTCTTATAGCTACGCTTACTTCATCGGTAATAAAGGGCAGCATAGACGGAATTTTCTTTTGGTCAAGTGTTTCGTTTTGAAGCGTCGTTCCTTCTAAACTTATCTCATGGGGTTACTATTTCGCAGCCATTGAGTCTATTTTCCGATCCAAGTCGCGCGACTCCACTTTTAAGTACCATCTTCGTCCACACAGAGGTGGCTGTTCGAAACACATTTCTCACGAGCGCCCTCATTGTGTATGAAAAGTGGCAAGAGAGAAAATGAACGATGGTGTTTTTACTATTTGGTTTTCGGTACCACTTTGTCACACGTCATGCCACTTTTGAACTAAAGGAGGAATACAACCACAATGTTGCTGAGATATTTGCAAAACTCTGGACCGCAGGTGTCTATGGTGGGGAACGAACGCGCTATTATCCTT